AAAATCTTAAACTGCAAAGTAACTACAACTAATGTAATGAAGTAAAAGTACAATGTGTTCCTCTGAAATGTACTGGACGTAGAAGTGTGGGTATAACATTTTTTTTTTAACATTTCATTTTGAAAATTGGTTTTCAGTACTGGGTTGAATCAAACCGAATCATAGGTTAACAAATGCCCTAAAATAAAATAAGTATATATGAATAAAGTTGGCAAGATGGCATAGTTTTTATGATTATTTCCTTACGGAAACACCAGTATGACAATGTAATAACAGTATCATGTTGTTTTAAAATAATAATAATAAACCAAATAGACCAAAAAAAAAAACCTCAATAAACTCTGAAGTTTACTGTGATTGAAATACTTTTCTTACAGCACAAGACAAATGGCAATAAGTGGTTTCAGTTAATGCAAAATTTAACAAATATCACCCTTTAAGCCTGCACCCTAACTTCTACTTTGCCATGTAAGTTTTGGGGGTATAAAAGTGTTGAAATGCACAAATGTGTTCTGAGAAAGTAGATGTGTCAGGTAAAGGTTGCTGGATTTAAAAAGAAACATCTGGTAATATCAAGGTTTTGGAGTTTGATCATCAGTCAAGCTGTTTGTTGTAGCTCTTTTTAGAGAAAAATATCTCTTTCACCACAGTCAAGTTTGATAAACCTCAAATGTTTTCTTGCACCAAATTTTTTAAAAACAACATATAATCTTGGTTGAAATTGCACAACAGATTTTTATTTGAAACTGAAATGTTTCAGCAACGTGAGGCTGAAACTGCAAACACCTCGGGAGGAGCCTCTTACCGTCCTGTGCATCTTGTCCTCCAAATCCTGGTTGATCCTCTGAAGAGCTGCATAGCTACTCTGGATCCTAAAAGGACAGAAAACAATTATGTCCTGTTAAAAATGCAAATCACAACATATGATGACTAAACAGTGTTTTACTGTTCATACAGCTAAATAAGCACCACTAATCTCCACATACATTTAGACAGGGAAATAAATAAATTACAAGATCAGGGCACTGATGGAGAATCTTGGAGGGGATTTGCAGGATATTTTAAGTTCTTACTCAGATTTGAAGATCACTCAGGATAAAAATCTGCTAAGCCAAAACACAGTAAAAAGGACTGATGATGTGTTTAAGCACCACAGCAGGAGATTCTAAGAAAAAAAATAGTATGTGATCATAAAAACTTTAAATCTATAAATATTTTATGATAGGAAATCAGTAAACATGCTTAAGCAGACCCACACAGCTGTATGTTTCTTTATTTTTCTATTTCAATTCCCTTTCTTCCTTTTGTGTTGTGTTGTATTTCTTCATAAGTTTCTCCTCATTGCCTCTCGTCACTCTTGCTCTTTGGTAAACCTTCCAGTGCATTAGTGAGCATAATGGAACAGGACCTCAACTCTCTATATGTTAACTTTTTCCTGGTGTTTTATCCTGTCACCTCTCGGTTCAGCACCACATTTTCACATTCACTCTCGGGCCTAAAAGAGAGTGTTGATTAACCAGCGTTTATGGCTCCATTAACAAGACAGATATGGAGAGCGTGGGCAGTGGAGACAAAAAGAGAAATCATAAAACAAAGACCTGAAAGAGATTTGAGCAGGTACAGTGGCACTGGAAGAGAGTGGTTTACTGATTGATGAAGAACAAATAAAACTGGTCGTTATGAGCAACATATTGCTGTTATACTTATTTACGAGCGGAGTCAGGCAGTGCTTGCTGTCTTCAACAAGCTCTACCAATCACTAAGTTGGTTAAAACTAGGAAGAGAGGGTTAAGATTTGGTTCTGTCAATCATTGCAAAAATATCTGAAATTTGTGCAGAGCCTGAAATACTCGGCACACAAATGCCCAACAGGCGGCCGGACTGTCTGCATCCCAAATTTTCAAGAGTGTGGCCAGAGACAAGTTTCAAGGAATAGTTTTAAGTTTATTTAAACAGCATATTATTCAAATTATCAATCACATGTATTTATACAATGGCCACTCTGGTCTGTCTGACCAGGACATTTGCTCTATTTGCAGATAAGCTCATTGCTCTGAGATTATGATCATGCTGCTAAATTAAAACTGAAGGCCACTCATCTATATGTTGCTAGACAACAGCTTCTTTTACGTGTTGATGAAATACATTAAGATGTATTCCAAAGATGTCAAATGTAGTACCAAAACAATGTTGTTGTAGAGCATGTTGCCCAAAAGTATGAATGAATACATGCTGGCAAAAGGCCATGATGTAAATGGGATGATTCACTTCATCACATGCAGTGAAAATGATGCGCTCAGGGGAGACTAATGCATTAGTTTTCAATAATAACACAGCTTGTTGATGGGTGGTAAGTAAACAAACAAATGCCTGCATGCGTTTTTGCCAGGAGAGTAGCAGAAATACCTTACCCATACTCCATCTCTCTCATTTGTTATTTGATGATTATTCATTTTAAGTTTTGGTCTTAATGACCTTCATAAGGTATATGTAACAATCATTAGATTAATTCATTAGATTATCCAATCAGTGGATCATGGTAATAAGGTCAATTGGTGCTTGAAGAAACAGAAATAGCCAATTAGGTAATTGAATAAAAAAACCTGTAATCTTACTGCCTGACAAGAACATCAATACTGGAAGGAAGTAACTTCAATTATGTTTTTTTATCATATTCTCCCTTTTTAGAGTATTTCTACATAGAAACTGTAATAAGTAAAGGTTGGGGGAAGTTTGCAATTGTACAAATTAAGTATGGTAGATGATTAATGTTATGCAACTAAAACACTTGGTCAGGAAGAGATCATTTCAGGTCTGTAACAGGGCATAAACTCTGGTCTCCTGCATGATGCACTACAGGGCACACTACTTCTTGCACTGAATGTCAGCATTCATAGAAGGAGATGTGCAATCACAAGGAATATTGGCCTAGAAAAAAAGGCCTGTTTGCTTAAAAATACCCAAAACATTATGCTGTCAAAAGCTGTGAAAGACACTAAATGTGATATTTTTTCATCCTACATAAAGGACTATTTCAAAACCGTCCAAATAACATCCATTCCTATATAAATGAGTTTTATGTGGAAGTGGAACATAGTCACACAACACAAGGAACAGCTATACACTTGTCGTTAGATGTGGTTAATTGACAGTTAAATATTATCAATGAGTAACACTGTCATGGTTTTTAAGCATGTAAAAACACTCTTTATCTATCCTCTATTCCAAAATTCCTTGACGTCACAGCACGACTTTGGTGGGTGTATTCCTGGTGGGGATTTAACAGTTCATGCATACAAAAAAGGCACATATGCCCACAGAGTCATGCACATGTGCACACACACCTGCGTAGCTTATCTGTAAATTTCTCCAGTTCCTCCTGGGCCCTGCGCAGCTCAGTCTCAAGGTACTGCCGAGTGGAATCGAACTCCGTCTCCACCATCTCTAGTTTGTGGGTGGTGTACGACAGGCGCTTACGGAGGTCGTCCTTGTGGTCATGGAAAGAGCTGAACAGGCAGCAGAGACAGTTTTAGAGAACAGGATTCGAGGAGACACAGTCACAACACTGATGCACTTTCATTTCTGTGGAAGTTTGTCAGATTTGAAGAACCAAGAGACAACACAGAGAGGGAGAGGAAACAGAGACAGAGAGAGAAGGCAATAGAGTAAAAAGTAAAGTGTATATGTGTTTGTGTGAGAGGGAGGGAAAGGGATGAAGTGTAGCTGGACTGTAATTCAGTTTGGATTGAGAGAGGTCCCAGGCAGGGGGAAGGCAGTGAGGCCGATGGGGAGGAGGAGATGGATGGAGGAGGAATACTAATCATTTCCCATTCACAGGGAGGAAGCAGAGCTGGGAAAGGAGCTCCCATCGGTGTAATGGTGAATTCCATTACACATCCCCCCTATCGAATCTCTGAAAGAATGGTAAAGGATTTTTGCCCTCAGACAAAGACCATGGGTGATTCATAGAAGAAGAGCTGAACATATAGAATGGACCACAGCTTTGTGTGTGAGTAAGCTTTAAAAGAAAGTGAAAGAGACAGAAAGAGCAAAGAAAGAGCATGACAGGGAGTGAGAGAGAGGCCAGAATAGCACCGTTTCAACACCTCCACCATCAACAGCAACAACATAGCAGACAGGGAGCAATATTTCAGCTGTTGCATTTGATGCAGGTTTGAGTGTGGGGGATGAAAACACACACACTGACTGAGGGAATGGATGTGGTAATGAAAGGCTAGAGATGGGAGAGTAGGGGCAGTGTGCGCTCTGGGGGATTTAGCATTTTGCCAGACTGATGGATACTTGGCTCACGGAGAGGTTCGATGGCTCAGCACTGCCAACCAGCAGGCGCAGTGAGTGCACCTCCAAGTTCACCTCGGCCCAGAGCCTCAATTAGGAAGCTGGCAGTAAAGGAGGAGAAAATGGTGTCCACTGTGACGGCCCCAGTAAGACTTATAGACTGTGTTGTGTCAATAGGTGGGTGGGGCAATGGACAGCTATTAATGTCAGGACACTTGGTTGAAGATCTCCACTAATTAACCCTTCATCAAGCAGTGAAGAAGTCAGTAAAATGTAGATGTAGATAAACGTCTGGCCTTTCGCGGAAACATCACCTATATGCACAAAATTCTTAAAGGAACATATGAACAACTTGAAATACGGTATTTGATGACTGCAGTGATTGATACCACTTTCATAATCTGTTTAACCAGTTTGTTAAAGGTCCAGTGTGTAACATTTGGGAGGATCTATTGACAGAAACTGAATCTAATGTTTCAGCAGTGTATAAATACCTGAAAAAAATGTTTTTGTTGCCATGTTTCTACAGAGTAGACAGAGGAAGGCGAGCGGTGTCCAGTTAGTTGCAAGCTGCAACTTCATCGCTAGATGTCACAAAATCCTGCCTCTATAGCTCTGTACTGAGTGTACATACATCTGAGTGATTCCAGTCTTCTCATCTAAATCAGTAGTAGTAGTAATAAGTGTATTTCCCAAACTGTTGAGCTATTCACTGGACAGACAGGCAGATAGACAAGTATATGAGTCATTGAAGAGTGTATCCAATATGCTGAGACTTGCACGTTCAGCCCACTCCGCTCGCCTGGCGTTACAACAAAACAAAATCTTTACAACCTCTCTGCTGTCTAACAGCTGCAAGTGATGTTGTAAAATCCCATGGCAAGGAGCCAGAGAGCTATGTGAAAATTGCTCTGGGCTCTTATCACTATGTAATGCCAGTTTAATTAAGTCTGAGCTCACAGCCATTGGTTATTTTTTTTAGGGTATTAGGCTTTTTTTGTCTGTATCCAGATGTAAAAGACAGTTGTTAGCATTAACGTGGATGTAGATGTCAGCTGATACATGACAAGTGATATGAAGATGAATGTTGGGAATGGATAGATGCCGCATTATGTTTTTAATGGCTTTTTAATGGTCATGACCTCCCAATGAGAATCCATTTCCATTAGTCAAAATGAATGAAATGGATTTCCCAATAATGAGGCTGATGTTTAGAGTTTAAAGCGCTCCCCAGACTGACTCATCTTACCTTCTTTTCGGGTGTTTGCAACCATTTCTCTGTGTTTTAAGGGCAGTTTTGCCAATATATATCTTTTTCATATTTTTTTCTGTGCCTCGGCTCTCATGTGTGTATAGTTGTTGCCACTGCTGCTGCTGCTGCTGCTGGTCGGCTGAATGTTGAAGCCAAGTTTGAACTCTAACCACAAACCAACAGTCAAAGCTCTAAGTCTTGCCTGGGGAGGCAGATAGGAGTTGGCTATCTGTGATGACCCTGGCAAGAGAGCAGAGAAAAACAGCTTTGAAGTCCCACAAATTTAGCAGCACATTTAGTTCTGTTGACTCCAGAGAAAAACAGAGATTTTGTGTGCATTCAGAAAATGAGCCAGTTTGGTATGACGAAGCAGAGCTGGGGGATCAATTAGATAAGTTCAGTAAACAAACTTAAATAGTATGCAATACTTGGAATTATTGTACCTCCAGCTGAACTTCACACTTGCCATTGAAATACCAGTGCACACAGATCTTTTATATTTTTCTTATAATGCAAAATATAAGCACAATTGATTTTCTAAAATACAACCATCACTAGGTACACTGTTAAAGAAAAAACACATTAGTATTTCTAACACCTGAGACACATTTTTCATTATTTACTTCTCTCTCTTGTTGTGAACAATTGAAAGCAGCTACCACAAACTGCAGGACCCTATGGGATAGTGAGTTATTGACCAGCTGACCACAGAGGTTATTCCTCAATAAATCAGTGTTATGATGAATGCGCATGTGTTTCCATTTCCATCCTTCGTCATTGATCTGAGGTCCTGGGGCTTGAACTCATGTCTCCTGCTCCATAAGAACTTAATAACCTGCCACTAGTGAGCATAAAATGTCGGAATAAACCTTTATAGTTGTACATCTTTCTTAATCCAGCTGCATTTGATTAGTCTTGTTGATATCAGTGTCCATTAGCTATCAACGTGATGTTATAAATCAAAAATGTCAAATTTGCTCCTGAAAATGACAAGATTTATTAAGAGAAAAACAGACAACTTCTTCCCAAAGCCTTCCCCCGAGCATGGTCTGTCAAACTGCAATGTTGTCTCCATGTCTCATCAGCTAGTGAGAATGTTAACTTCTTAACTTAGCTTTAGCTTAGCTTTAGCCTCAAATCTTTTAGCATTCTATCGTGTATGTAGCCATCATGTGTATATTTGAAACATTTTTATGGGATTTTCGTTTTTTAAATGAATCAGCTGGAAACAGTTAAAAGTCAAGTGGTGACACAATGTTGCAACCAAAAAATTCTTCAACTGTCTAGTGAAGCGTTGCACTGCCCAAATGATCCGTGCGGCTGCCTAATCTGTTAACATGAGCGACAAAATACAAAGCGAGATGTTCTGCCATGCACTGAAGATGCAGGCAGTGTGGACCGGGTGTAAGACTGTGAAAATACGTAATTACACACCCAAAACTTGCGTAAGTTCCGCATATCACAATATAGTGAAAGATCAAAAATGTTACTTGTCTCTCGCTGTTGACTACCATATAAGAGGGTCCCACGAAGGAGACCGAAAGGGGACAGACTTTGCCTCTCTATATACAGTAACTGGTGTGCAAACATTTCAATAAGTCTGTATATTTACCTTTTAAAAACCACTATGTCTTGTCCTTAAGAGCCAAGTAAGCATAAATGCATAAATAGAGACAGGGGTTGCCAGCAGCATAACTTTTATCAGTCCCTGCAGAGTGGCAGGGTAGCAGTTCAACAACAAACTGGAATGAATGTTTTGTCGCATGCCGCCATTTCTAATGGCACCACTACTTATTATTTTTAATCTCCCTTCAACACTGGCTCAGAAAACAATGGCAGTTTCTGGAAACACCGTTGCTATAGCCCTTTTCTTATCTGCAAGTCACAGAGAGAGAGAGAGAGAGAGAGAGAGAGAGAGAGAAATAGTTGCTGAATTAGTAAAGAAGTGGGGTTGTATAGAATCCATCCTTACATGCACAAACATAAACACACAGCTCCCTGCAGTGCATATGAAATACTGTACCCTTACTGTATCATAACACCTCCCCCAGGGGGATAAACAGCAGATCTTGGTGCCTCAGGTGTTGTTTGGTAAGGTAAACACTATCCACATGAAGAAACAAATCTAAGTCCTCAGAGAACATCTTGATAGGCTTACTGCTGTTTCTGCACTGCCAAAGAAACTCAGAACAGCAAAATATATGTAAATCAAGAACACTTTCCTCTCTACAGCGTTCTCTCACAAGTATTAAGAGGAGTCTATAGTGCAGACGGAAACACAAGTAAACCCTGTTACCTGACAAACTTTCACCACGTGTTACAACTTGTCATAATGATCAGACAATGCAGACTACAGGGAGTACAGCAAATGGTTGTTGTAGACTATAACCTACTTCAGGCAGACAGTTTTCACCCCCCGCTCTGCCAGTATAGTTTCTCTCCTTCATGAAAATGACTCGAACAGCAAGTGACTCCAGTTTAAATTAGAAAAAAAAAAAACCTTAATGTAAAACCTACTAAAGGTCACAACTAGCCAGCATCCATCTCGGATCTACAAAGGGGAGCCCTTCTGGTGCCGGCAGGTTGATTTACTTGTAATGAGCCACGGGAGGTGAGCGAGGTAAAACCACTGCCTGCCAGATATACTATTCACAGTGACCAAATGAGGATATTAAACTTTAATGGCCGCATTGCCATCCCTGCTATTTAAGCGAGCAGCTCACAGAGACACAAGCACCTCATCTACTGTAAACACTAAACCTTCATGTTGCAGCTTAGAAGGTGTTATTTTTTGTTGTTTTGGCCGTAATTTATATTGCTTAATATGACAATGTAGTAAACAAAGAAATTGCTGTGCTGAGGCACGGTGACATTGATGCAGAGAAGTCAGATGGGGAAAGAGAGAAACCAGAGGTCAGACGATAAGTAAACAAGTTAACAGTTAAGCAAAACTTTCTAAACCACTTTTAACAAGTCCTCCAAAAAGGTAGTTTCTCAGTGTCTTTAAAATAAAAAAAGGTCAGTATGACAGTTTTCTGACCTGCCACCATGTTTTCATACTACAGTGAATGTGCTCATGTCTTAGGCAAAAAAAAAAAAACGTTTAAAAAATTTCAAATTTTGTTAAAGAAATAGTTTGACATTTCAGGAAATATGCTTATTTGCTAGTGAGTTGATCTATACCACTCTCTCATACGGCTACAGCCAGCAGCCAGTTAGCTTAGCTTAGCATAAACACTGAAAAGACGAGGAAACGGCTAGGTTAGCTGTGACCTATGGTAGCAAAATCTGTCTACCAGCACATGTAAAGTTCACCAATACATTTTTAACAGCATTTTGACATGAAATTTTCACATCAAAATGGTCGTTATATCTGGTTTTCTTTTTCAATAAGGTTTAGTAACACACAAAAACGTGCACTTTAAGAGGAAGAAAAGATTGTGATCAAGGTCGAAAGGAAACAAGAGTCAAAGTCGAACGTATTGCATAGGCAATGTCTCACCACATTATTTCTAGGTAAAACTGAAAGTAAGCCCACTGAAAATGTTGGTAATATTCCTAATATTCGTTGCTCAGGACACCTACAAAGCTGACGGCACATAATAATTGTATTGTTTTGTTTTGTCTTTCAAATATGCCTGGCTAACTTTGCAGATTTTTTGATTGTCTGACTGACCATGTTTCTTGCCTCGTTTGACTTATCTCTAGCACTGCTGCTGCATTCACAGACCTTAGCAATTAACTCAGTAATGGCCAAAACAACAATAATAATAAGTTGTAATAAACCAGACGTATTCCTTCTGATGCATTTAAACTGCGGAATAACTCAAAAGGATACAACTCAAACAGCCTGAAAGCCAAAAGAGACGAAACATGAGCAGAAATGTTGATAATTAGCCACATCATTTTACAATTTTATTGTTTTTCCCTTGGTATTAACTACCACAGTGGTTGGGGCTCTACTTGAGAGCCATGTGTTGTGTTATTTCTTCTGATGCAAGACTCCAGAAATACAACAGTCTCCTGATCATGCTCCACTACCAGCGGCCAGAAAAACAGCTCTGTGGATTAAGTCACCAGAGCAATGATGATGACTAGTCAACACAGTTTGCTGCCTGAAGACAAGAACTGCAACTGAGGAGCCATCCGCACACTGTTTATCTCTTCTTTAGTTTCTATCTACATATCAAAAGAGACTCAACCTTAAGTGGGTAAAATGGAGGAACTTGCTGGCCTTGAAACTAGTAAGAGCTCTAACTCCTTGCAATAAATGCCTGAAGAATTAGTTTTACCTGACCACCAGAGAGGTTGAATCAAATCAGCTAAAGATGTCATTGATAATTTTTGCAGTGATTAATTTGTGATCAGAGTATAAATCAGGAACTTGATGTACAGTAACAGATATACGTATCAAACCCAACCATGTTCTTGCAGGTAATTTATCAAACACAGTTCAAGGCCCGACAGCAAATATATCTGAATTCTCTTTGGGATTTGCAACCATAATGCTGTTTTCCCAAACAAAAAGCTCCTGGGGATAAATTAACCGATAATGAATAGTTTCCCCTGCTGGGCCGTGACTCATCAAACTCCCTCCAGCTCCTTCATGTATCCATGGCCTTTTAAACAGCTCGTCAGTCATAGCGATAAAGTTTTATTCGTGTGAATAATAGCGTGTGTTCGTTTTGTGTAACAAGGTTCAGAAGAAACAGCGAGCATTCAATCAATTTTGACAATTTGTAGCCATATTTCACACTATTCCTGATCAGATAAGATCACATCGGGGGGCCACAGCAGGAAGCACCACAGGGGATCTTTTTTCACATCACGCTGTGGTGTGTGTGTGTTTTGCAGTTCAGGGCTGGTGGATACGTTCTTCTCTTTTTCAAGTCATCTACTGAATAAGTGAAGAGTGAATTTCATACTGAAAAGGCTTTAATTTTGAGAGATACCTACTTGATTTGACTAATTCAGAACGTGGAAGCCTCATATTAACTCAACTGCAGCACAGCTTTGAATACATTTTTACACAGATCGAGGACTCAGCGATTTTGTCCTCCATCACTTACAATGTGCATTAGGAAGGGATCTTAGAATATCCTGTATAATCATAAAGGAACGATTACAGCAATGTAATGCAATACAATGTTCATGTGGGCACCTGACTGTTGTTTGTCTCCTTCAAAGCTTTAGGAATGGTAGGAGTTAATTTACCCATAAAACAAACCTCTGATTAGTTT